GACTGCACAATCAAGTACTTTACTAACATTTTGGATAATATGTTCCCTGTATGTCTGAATTCAGTAGTTCAGCCGATATATTATCTAGTCCTTCTGCTTCCACACTCTTGATTTATCTGATATCCCAGGTGATTTCTCCTATTGTTGATCAGGTAACAGCTATGGCAACGTCTGTGTGTTCTGCTTCGGTGTCCAATTGGTTCAGTTGGTATTGTCTGTTCAAGAGTTGGTTAGGGTACTCCACTCACCTCTTACTGAGCTCTCGAATCTCAGTGACTATCTTGCTTTCTTTGCTCCTGAATGATCGCTCTGATATGCTGCATTTCCTTGCTAGTTTCTCCGTTGTATTTTGTGCCAGTAAATACCTTTCATCCTATCTATATAAGGATCCAGACCAGTAGTGGTTAGGTCCTCATTTAGATCACACAGGGTTATCTTTAAAAAACAGATGAGCCTTTACAAAATTAAAGATATAATAATAGTTGTTACGTCAGCTTCCTTCCAGTACCGACTTCCATAGTAATATCGATTCCATCAACTCACCAAGCAAAAACATATCAGTTCTGTATCCGCAGCCTAAAGGAGAATTACTAGCTCGTTCAGTGTTCGAATTTGAGCCGATGATAACCAAAGCCCAGTCAGCATTCGATATACTCTATGGGTGTCATATACTTTACTAGCTTGTTATCTTGATTCTTAACACTTACCTTCTTCCGCAAATCATTGCTTCCTGACTTAGTGAACGTTTTCTGTGTACCACAGCATGTAAGAAAACAGAGGGTAAGAAAGTAAAACAAAAATATTTGGGAAAGTGTCACAAATGGGTTACTCAACACCATGTTGATGGGGTACGATTTACCTATACTCTATTCGGCTATCAAGTGTTCACTCACCTTTTTAGTTGCCCTCAAGTAAAAAATAACGAATTTACTTCGAAGAAAAAAATAAAGTCTGTCAAACTTGGAGAATCGCCCCACCGCCTATATAGAATAACTAGACATAAAAGGGAATGTACAATTATAAATTATATATGTTAGGTTCCACATAAGTGTTAAGCTTCCAGAACCTATTGGTAATCTGGAAAAAAATAGACACTGTGTGGACATCTTAGGCACGAAAATGTAATAAAACGAAAAATGACATTTCTCACGAGACAAATTTAAATGTGTGGATCTGTCAGAAGTTGGATTCATTACCAAACACGATCAAATATGTGATCATGAGTCTGTGACGACCGCTTTTTATAACCAGAGTTGTAACCGTGGATATACAGAAAGTGTTCGCTGACCGGGAAAGTTAAAACATAAGATCAAGGAAAAAACAATAAAAATACTGCGAATCCTTGAGTCGACTAGGCTTCTTCGGGTCAGCGACATAACCGCAGTTTAACAGATCAACATTTTAAAACCATTCCTTATTTTTGATTTATCTTCTGGTTTATTATTACACATAGTTCCCTTATCATTCTTTTGGTAACCTCCGGCGCGCGACAATCTCACTCGATTAGCAATCCGAACAATTTTACGTTGATCCTAGTAGGAAAGTAGTGTAATGATATTGGATCTTAACCACGTGGTCTTTGAAAGTGAACGTATAATTACTAGGGAGATTTACATTCAACATGTAACTTTTAAAGAAGGTCAAAATTGGTTAAAGCGGGGATTATTGATCGGTATGGTATGGCTCTGCCATACAGGCATAGTAACTCTGTGACCTCTTGATTTTTGAACCAAAAATACCCTCTTCCCAGCCTAAATGTGTTCTTCAGAAGTGCCAGGAATCATACTGTTCATTTTCGTAATAGGACGAGCTAATGTAGACAGTGATGTGACTTCCTCGTTAAATCATATGGATCAGGTAGTCATATCATGACGAATATACAGTTCCATGATTATGTTTAATAATATTGTTATATCACCGTAGGTAGATATACTGGTGCCGAACTAGACCATAGTTCCACGGTACCACAGAGTTGTCTTATATCTCTTTCGCTTGCAACGTTCCCAGCTGTCATTGCTAGGTCTTCTTCGTATTTCTGCTTGTCGGCTGTAATACTTCTCTTCACTCGCTTGTTTGCTTCAGTGCATTCAGCTCTTATCTTTCTCCGTTCTCATTAGACTGTTGTTAATTGCAGTCTTCTTATTCTCTCTTCTTTGAATCTTGCCTAGTGTATCGATGCAGGCCCATTCTTCATGATGGTGTTTCTTGCGGCTCAGCACCTCTTGTAACGTTGAAACTAATGCTCCTCTAATCTCTTTCTAGTTGTTCTCCATAGTAACTTACTTTTCTTTGAGTAAATTTTATAAGGCACGCGGCCAGTTGCTAAGATCTGTCTTCAACTCTGTGAGTTTGTGAATGTCCCGAAGGAAGGCTATGTCAAACCATTGCGATGCTGTTTCCTTAGTTGTCCGGTGCCTTTATAGCTCCAGCATCATCTCGACCAACACCAGGTGGCGATCTAAAACTGTATCAGCTCCTCCATTTGACCTCACGTTTTCTATGGACATCCTGTATCTTATTGATATTAATAATATGTTTCTGACATACCAACTACATATCACTTTTACAGTTATGACCAATAATTTACACGGGTTTTCAAGTGCGACACTTCAGAAGTCGGATCACCGAATAGATTAAACCAATGAAATTAAATGGTAGAATATTTGTGCAGATATATCCCTGAGTTAAGAAATAGGTTTATGATTTATTACTGTACTTAGTTCACAGTTGTTGTGATCAGTTCGAAAGTTCCATCACATCTAGTCTGTGACTTGATAAAACATATGTCTAGTCCGAACCTGTTTCAAAGTAACTGTGAAAATGCTCTTGATATCAGCTAGAACTTTGACAAATGCATACCTGTGGTTTGTATTCCTGGCGTATGAAAAAGCTCTATGGCTGTCAACTGTAAATGTGGCACTGATAAAAGAGAAATTGAAGATCAGCAATCACTTGAATACAAAACTACAACATTGATGGAGATATGATCGGTCTAGCTCTCTATAGTGTGGCGCGGTTTGGCCCATATAGCTTTGTATATGCGTTTAAGAGGGAACTTTGTGACACCTATAACCATTTTGTTGAATGGACATGGTATCTTCATACTTGGTGTTGTTCATTCCGACTTCGAAATTTAGGTGTACTATAAGGATCGTCGGATCTTCCCTGATCGATTCTCTATGACCGATTGTAGTCATTCGTAAAATCGGCCCTTATTGTCTTCATTGTTACCACTGATAAGTGAATATAATTGGATAACATTCATTATAATCCCTTCCCTCTTTGTTTTGAAGTAAGCTTTGATAATTTTGGATCCATGAGATTACCATCCTACAAAGTATTTTCATACTTCACTGAACAGCATCACGCAGCTCTCTCTCTCTCTCTGCGTGTGTGTGTAGAGCGTTTACGTTATGACCACAATGCATCAGCACATCTCCAAGAGCCTATCTCTATCTAGCTTGTGTTCAATGGATTCCACTTTTTCTGAAAGCTGCCAAAATATATCTCCTCACTTCCGTAACTGCTCGGTGGGCCCTTTCGGCCTCCTGTATTGTCCGGATATTTCATGTGCCTTCTTAACTGTTGCGCTGATTGTTAGGAGGGGCATTTGCCTCGTGACTTCCGACGAATCTGGGCTTTCACCATGGAGCGTCATAGGTTTTCTAAACGAAAATCCTTGAACGCTCAGGACAGCATTCACATCGAATAAATTATTTTTCTGGTTACGGTCCTTTTAACAAGGCTGTTTTTTATCGGATGGAATTGCTTGTCCCATCCACAACCCTCCTGGTTTATAAGGACTTGACTCAACAGTAACCCTGTAAAAGCTCCAGGTTCAGTCCTGTTAGATAACACCAAAATGAATAAATAGCCTACTGTACTAAGAACTGACATTGAAATGTTGTTTTAGGATTCCTGAATTGTTGCCGGTGCTGGTTCGTTATGTAAACTCCAAAATCCAAACGTATATACTTAATTACATTTCAGTAGCTTCCTCACAATTTTTCTCATTTCTCATTGATGCTGCCGTGCCCCTTGGTTTGAAAAAGCGTCCTAGCTACATAGCGATCAACGACTCAATGAAATTGGCTAGTCAAAATGTTTGAAATTTTAGTCTTGAATATGAACTTAGTATCACTTCACATTATCTCCAATAATGCAGTTTTCGGGAAATGTTTTCCGCGAAACGTGCATACCACATTTGTCATGAGAAATATCAACTTAACCCTCCACGTTCGCCCATAATTCCTGAAACTACCTCATGTTGGATTGAAATTCAGTATACAATCTAGCTCCCAAGTAGGGTTGGAGAAACCATTGTTTCTCTGAAGAGCGTTTGGAATAACCTTATTCAGTTCAACACCCCCGAATTTACCCTAAGTGTTAGTTAATCCAATAGTTTACGAGCAGGATATTGAGGTAATTGGGGTAACGGGCATTTAAGATAATTAAAATGGCCTAATTCAGTACATCAACTACCAGTCGCCAGGATAGTTTAATCCATGCTATATAGTCGATTATGAGCCACTGTTTGAATCACAGGGGATTTCGAGTGCTCTTTTAGATGCATTGTACTTTTAGTCAAATTTGAACGTAGAACATTACATAAATTAACTATTAATTTGCAAAAACACTACAATCGTCTCAGATTAAATACAGATCTGGATTTTTATAATACATTGTGCGTTCTATCCCTAGGTTCACCGAATATTTGTCCAAATCTGACTCGGAAGTAGACTCTGCGTAATGTGCAAAAAATTTGCTGACATTATAACCACCGAAAGAAATTGGAACAGACTCATTTGCTACCAGGAATAGTATTTGATCCACAAGTCGTTTGTGAGCGCACAATTACAATGAGGGCCGTAGATTTTTCAAACTTATTCTCTAAATTTTTATTAAATGGTGAAAAATCATTCATACGGTAGTATGTACCTCATGAAAACATTCATCTTAACCGTGTACGAAAATCAATGCAGTTCGTTTCTTCACACTCTATTGCAGCCTTGACTTTTGGCGTTCACACGGACTTATTCCTTTGATGTCGCTTCTCCTCGGTCAAGGCATGGTTGCTTGTTTTCTTGTGTTCCTCGTATTCTTATCCCAAAGTAAATATCATTTTCATAATTAATTTGACCTTTTCCAAGGTTTTTCAGTCAGTTACCTGAAGTTCGAAAAAATAAATGGAGCATCTGAGGAATCTTTAATTTTTCTGAATGACGCTAATCCAACAGCTCTTCTTGATGCTTCAGCAAATACTCAAAGGATAGTTTATTTTGCACAAAAAAGCCCACCATTGGGTTTAAAGCTGAATTTTGCTTGTCATGTCAATAAACAAGCGAAACCTTTGGATAAAATGTCTTTATGCTGCCGCAGTAGTGTGAAAGATACCAAACGTACTTGTGTTCAGCCAGAGGCTGAAGGTACATTTTCCTGTTTAAATACTGAGTTTCGCTTCAGTGCTGACGAAACGACGGGGGCAAGTTTCTCAATTTCTTTAACACAAGACGGTCCCCTGAGCAATCCAATCAGCGGACTGTTTTCGTGTATTGTCGGTACAGACGAACTCAATGTTATTGAATCAAATGAAATAGAAATACGAGATGCTGTATTTTATATTCTTCAACTAAAGGGTACTCCTTCAACAAAGATAGATGTCGTTCCACCAATATCAGAATTTCCGCATGAGTTAAGGTGTGTAGATGATATCAGCATTGTATCACGCTGGCCATACTGGATGCACCAACTAGATGGCAGATACGGACCATACAGATGGGAATATTGTCTGGCCACAGGGAAACCAAATGCCATTACGTGTTCTAAAAGGCCCATTCAGTTTTCTCCCAATTCTATTGTCGAATTTATAAATGGGAGCGTGTATCTCACTGATGCACCCCTGGTTGAGTCGAAGTCGATAGCTATCGTGTGTAAGCATGTTGGACAACTTGGACCTATTAGAACCTTTGCTGGAAAAGTTGCCGGCACTGAATCCCCCGTGATCCTTGAAGGTCTTTCAATCGAGAAGACTAGGAATTCCAGTACTACGAAGCTGTATCCTTTAACATCACTAACATCAAGTTATGTCATCAATAAAGGTACCAAACTTCAAGACTTTATGCTTAAAGCTTTATATCGACAACCTCAAGGGGACTATGAATTTCATTGGTTCAAGGATGAGCAGATGTTGCACAGCAGAATTGCGACAAAATACAGTTATACACTTCCTAGTCTTATTGATGAGTCTGTATCAGGAGTTTACTCACTAGTTGTGAAATCGAATGAGGATATTTCCGATAGGTTAATATTCACATACGATGTTAAAGTCGTTTCACCTCCTTTCTTTAAGGATCCAAGATGTTTGAAAGAACTGTTTTACGTAATGGAAGGGAATAACTTCGGCTCTGTGTGTGAGTTTGATGGCAGGTGGAATACAGTTGTATTTGTCGGTGTGGCTTCGTTTGAAGCATCTACGTATCAAGAACTTCGCATGTTTATTGATAAGAATCTCAAGTACTCAAAGCAACAACTTTCCCAGTTGGATATTATTTTTCATGTAGATGGAGAAGAAATGAATAAAAGAATTACAGTTAACATTACAAAACTGAAACTTAATCAGGATTGTGAACTATCTATTCGTTTACATTCTATATACGGTCAGTCACGCATATCGACGTCACTTAAAGTTGTTCGTAAGTTAGATTTTTACATATTTTTGTTGGGACCTCGTCAGTTTTTGACGAAATATGTGTTTTAAATACATGGCAAGATACAAGATATATACGTGTACGTATATAGGTACAATCAGAATTCTTAAGGAAAGTGAGAACATCATTACTCTTATCCCTATTATCAGCTTGGAACACTATTCTTGTAAATAGACTACTGTATTTTTATTTATAACTGATCGTAATAATCGGAAGTGCATTTCTATTAATTACGGTTATTATTTTATTATTTATTTTAACACATATATTGGTACAAGGAGGCACCAGATACATATGTGTCACACAAATCTCATTTGATTTGTGTGAGGGCTGTGATATTGCTCGGGTGTACAAACTGAAAGAGGCGGTTTTCTTAGGGGGTCACACCCGGAGCCTTCGACCTAAAGGTCTGATCCACAAGACAGTGGAGCATCGTAAGGAGATGCAGTCCCATAGTAGCCGGTGACCAACGATTGGTTCATACGCCATTTGTTCCCTCAGGATGCTGCAGACAGCCCATGTGCACCATTGTTTTGGAATCCGGTTAAAGCGCCGGACATTCGCTTTTCATCCTCTCATTTTCGTACTATAAACAAAGTATTTTAATCCTCAAAAGTGCCGAATACCATACGATTTTAATCTCATTTAATAGCCAATAATAACCGTCAGGTTGACTGACTCGTAACTATCAAATAGTGTAAAAGATATGGACCATGGATGATTCACACAGAGAAATCCAAACTTTTTAACCTATTGTCTGTAACATTTTGTAGTTAACACCTCTTCCACACATAATTAGCCATTTTCGGGCAAATTTGGTGTTTTCAAATCCATATATTTACCTAAAATCATAAAGTTGTGGTATAAAAACTGCGCATGTAGTTTCACAATGGATAACATCTCATTCTTGCAGTTCTATCCTGAACGAACAACTAGGACACAATTGTGAAAAGTTTCTTGTACTTACGTATATATGTATATATACTTACTAAGTATTGATCATTGTATATTAGTTATTTGGCGTTTTATATAAAGATTCCAATCATTCAACACTAACTATAGGCTGTTTTCTCAAGTTCAGTATGTCTGACTCAATATAGTTTACCTATGAACCTTTATCAACTAAAGTGAATAAAGCATACCATATACTATCTAAGCGCTACTTACTTTTTGCTATACAGGATAGTGAAGTACTTTATTAGGTTAGAAGCAATTATCAGTTAATGAAATTATTTCATTTTAATCTGAGCCGTTTCGAGAAGTCCACCCTTCCTGGTTACACTCTATGTGATAGTCGTTATCTGTGGTTGATAACCTTAAGTGAGATTATTCTAATTCGATGGAAGCAGCGTGGTTGTATCTGTCTTTCTTTGTATCTTCACTAAAAGCTTAATCTGTAGTACTCTCCACTTCTCTTCATTTTTTCTAAATATGTTGATTTTAGTTTTCAACTACAATTCATCAAATTATTTTGATTTCTTTGCCTTCCGCACCGCTAATGTTGTTCTCTGCGCTTTCAAATGTGATAGTTTCAATCAATATATGTTTGCTTCAGATCATGTATTCTTCACAACTGGGTGACTGATCCCCTGACCTTGTCTGCATTACAGTAGTATCACTGTAGATTAACAATTCATGTTATTTGAGATCTCATTCTGTATCTGTCATCCTCATTCCAACCCCTTAACTAGATTGATTGCTACTTAAATAAAGCCTTATAGACAGACAACAATCTTACATAAAAATTGATAAGCAAGATGGATCACTTAGCACGAACATATTTTTCTAAGCGATTAAGTTTACCTTATTTCATAGGGATAAATTGTGCCATATCAGCTACTTAATTGCAAAATCTTACTCAGAAATTTACCTTGGCTTCAGTGTCAAAGCTGTAACGAAATAACGATTGAGAAAATTAAAAGGTTTAAGATGTTCATTTTAAAGTTAGAGTTTGTTTAAAGAAAAAGTTTAAATGTTCATTTTGAAGATAGAAGTAAATTAACGGTTTCTTCTTAACACAGAATTTTTCGTCATCTGCTTGAGTGTAACCTAACATAATGTGATAAGCCTGTTAGAAATTAGATTTTTCGTACTTCATACAATATTGTTTAAACTATTTTAGCTAAGCCTCAACTCACAATATCACCTTCCGATGAAAATTGCATAAAAGAATGTGACGAAACTCCGTACAATGTTTCTTGTGCACTAAATGAAAATATTGTTCAAGAATGGAAATCAAAGTTTAATATAGAACCATCTATTGATTGGATCATTCAAAATCACTGGACCAAAGCACATTTGGAATCTACTGGTTTAGGACAATTTATAACTTCTAATGGTGGACATGATGTAAGTTTTTATTAGCCTTAGTTTCACCGATTTTAATTGCATAAGTTAAATATATCGGTATCACAATGCCAAGGTTGAATTTGATAGTCTCAAATAAATTGAGCATCGGATAGAAAGTTAATAACAAATGTAAATTTTTTGTAGCTCACATTAATTCATGAAATGTCAGAAATACAGTTTTTCTATCCATTGAGATATAATAAGAAGATATTTATCATAAGTTTAATAGTTAGGGTTTGGAAATTTGTGGTTAATCATAAGTACTTGATAATACATAAGTACTTTTAGTTTTTCTTCCTCAATGCGGCTTATGTAACCAATATCATCATTGAATTTTTATGACATATCAGACTTTAATTTTTGACCCTAAACGATTACTTAACATCTACATATGTTTTAATTAAAGTTGAAATATTTAGTGCATAACTGAACATATATTAGGGAATTAAATCAGCCATTTGTGTGCAACATATTCAAACAAGGTAGTACAATTTATCAGGTAATGAATAATTTATCAAGAAACAAGTGAAAGTCACAATAATACCTTTGAAATTCCACTTTCTGTCCGTTATATCAAAAATTACTCTTGTTAACGATTTCAAACAAACTATACTATCTAGCTCTTTATATCTATTTTTCTACCACCGTCTAAGCAATTGTCTTCATAATTTCCCTTAACGATAGTTGAGATAAGAACAAATTTTAAAGTATGAGTAAATGTTAAGGGTGGTCTTTTTACGTGCAGTCTAAAAATATAGTGTTTGTTCTGAATTCATTAGAAAGATGAATCAGTGTTCCAATTTGTTTGTTCATTTAAGGTTGATTTGATTTTTATCATACTAGATAAGTATGATGATTAACTGGTTTCACACAGCAAATCTTTATGTAATTTAGCATCCATATCTATTCATCCAAACCAAATTCCACAAAACGGAATATCTAGATTTGATTAGAAAAGCTGTGGGTCAAACTGGCTGTAATATATCGTTTCATGGGACTAGAAACATCAGATGATTTAAGGTATCAACAAACCATATGGTAATTAACGTATTTATTGTTCTTTAAACTGTTGGAACAATTTTTCAATGAATATACACTCGATAAAATTTAAATTGGCACTTTGTCATTTCACGAACATTCATACAATCCAAGGCATAGTCATATTTGACCAGTATTGTGAAGTGAATTTTTGTTAAAATTCATCATAATAATGGTTAGACTTTTGCGAATGGTTATATCAGTTTCTTATGAACTATGTTATCAATTGTTTCTATTGTCTGTCTGGTAATTTAGAATATGACCCTCCAATTTCCTGGTACATTCGAGAGTGGGGGGAGTTCGCTCTTCCCCATTGAGATGCTCTCATTTGGCCATGCGTATACAACCACTGCCGGGGAAGTCCTACTCACTGTCTTTAAGCAGGGCGTTGTTTACGAAATTAGGAGGATAAAAGCGCATACCCGGCGCTTAAACCGGGTTGATTGGTATCAAGGATCCACTCTAATTCCAAACTAATGGTACACATGGGTTCTAGGGATACGATAAAACCTATTATTGGTCTCCGGTTACCATGAGACTGCATCCCCTTACGTTGCTCCACTATTTTGTAGATTAGATCTCTTGATCAAAAGCTCAGGGAGTGGCCCCATAGGAAAACCAACTGCTTCGGTTTAGGCACCTGGACAGTGTCCCAGCCCACACAGAAGTTTAGTGGTTTGTTTGGTGCATGTATATTTTAGTGCCCCTTTGTACTGGTGTTTATATGTTTGTACAAATAACAAAATTCAGGACATGATCTTATGTCACATTTAGGTTATTCTACTATTCAGTCATAATTAAACAAATTTTCTATTAAAAAGATTGAATGAAGTAAAATAATATAGGCATTAAGAAAGATTAATATTCCATATTTTAAGTCCAATATTTTTGCAACACTTTCACCGAATTTTAACCATCCAATATATTCAACTCGAATCCAAGAAATCTATCGCGTTTCGAACTATCACACAGTAATCTATTAACTTGTCGTGGTATGAAATAAAGCTGTGTGAGATTGATATCTGTCAGTCCACCACGACCCCTTGGTTAGGATACTAGAGAGAAACTTTTAACTGTTTTTGACTAAACTGTATTGCCTATCATCTGTTATTTTCACTTATTTTTTTGATTTCGCTCCCGTTCCATCCTTTATTTATTTTCAATGTCAACTTTTTTCATGTGTGGTACATTCATATTTTGTTGTCCATTTATGCAAGGACTTATGTTTATTAAATGAAGGCAATACAAAAAGCTTGTTTCTCCAAACCGTTGAAATCAATAACCATACACTTAAGTCTTCTCTAAGCGTGATTGGAAATATTGACTAGCAATGATATGTATGGTAGTTGACCAAATTAACAGTAACAATGTGTCACTTTGAATCTCACTGATCGATTCACTTGAGCTTCTTGAACATTCTCTTGTTTGTATGTTGATGAAATGCCACACAATCTATCCTCTTAATCTTGTCGTGATTAAATGCTATTTCGTTGTTTATTTATGTCAGACAACCCTAACAGTATGGCCAGTAGGTAAACCAATTCCTTTTATTGTTAAACATGAAGAAAATAACAACAAACGACCAAAAGAAGAATCTGGGATAGAGGAAGAAGAAGAAGCAATAGAGAAGGAGATAATGAACTTGGACACTGAAGATGAACCTGTTCAGATACCTAGTACGACGACACTAAAACAATTTCTTGCACAAAAAATAGGCGGATCTGAAGCTCAGCCGCCGAAAGATCTTATTTTAAGCTGTTGGATTCGTTTATCGGTTATTGGTAAAGAAGCTGAATTTGAAATACCAAATGGATTAGTATCACATCAGTCATTTGCACGTCAAGCTCAATTTGCACAATCTTCTGGTATAAATCGTTTAATCTATGATTCCCGATGGGAAACAGACACTGAACTAGCGAAACGATTAACCGCTGTTCGTACATTTACTCCTGATATAATACCTGGTAAGTTTTTCGAGTTAAATTATTTTGTTTTTTTTGGGGGGGGGAGGTGAGATTTCATGTATGTTTATGATAGTTTGACATCTACATTTTTCTGCGTAACATTTTTCGGTGATACGAAAAATTGACAGTCATTCTTAGCCAACCAGCACTAGTGGATGATTGGAGGAGACTCTAGAATCTTCTTGTGTAAGATTCTAAGTATATTAACGTTTTTCTTACTGTGATTCACTCATTCAACTTGGTTTGTTTTGGTGTATAAGTAAGTTCTTGTTCAAGCTGTGTTCTGATTTTAAAAACTAGTCGAATTAAAACTTAACAACACGATAACCTGATTGTTGGTAGTCAACTAGACAGTTCTCATTCTTTTTTACTTTCGTTATATTCTTTTCTCGATCAGTTAAATGAAAATATCCTCAAGAATTTATTCTTGTTCTACTGTCCTTTTTATCTCCTAATCAACTTACTATTGGTCGTTTATCCAGTGACTGAGTTTGAGATAAATAGGATGTTCTTGACAGTAGTAATTAATCTCGGACTCACTCCTGAATGAAAACCATGATTTGCACTACAAATTTATACTTTTACTTCTAAGTAATTATATTGCAGATAAGAATGGAAATTACTCAGATGTCGATATGAATATGATAATAAATAAGTTTGCAGAAATTACCAAGTTATTGATTGAAGTTAGACATTGACACTGTTGCATGCCATCTAAATGGTTCATAGATAAGCCGTTGCTGCACAATCCCAGATTTCAGCCTTCGGGATCGTGAATTCACACTGCCCCACTAAGGAGTCCCGTACTATGACAAAATGACCATCCAGTGTTTGCAAGTTTTCATCGGTTACTTAACTTATATCGGTTCATTGTTTCAGTGAAAGTCAGCAATATCCACAACCCCCTTATTGACAATTCTGGGATGCAAACACACCCAGCTGAATAGGCCAAAACGCTCATCCTAGATTCCACTGCTAGCCATATCCCATCTAGCCTTTATCAACTTGTGTCGAGGTAATCCTCACAGGATGCCAATATATTCCAACGAAGATTGGTCACATTTCAGTCAAAAGTATCAACAACGGGATAACTCAAACCATTTCAAATTGAGTCGTCAATTCAAATTACATAACTTACCTACATATTGAGCTTTGGTGGATGACTTTATTCATGCTTCATTCGATATTTTTAAGAATTCATGGTGTTTCCATTTCATTAGTTTTTTACTGGAAAACTAGATTGGAAATATAAGGAGGCTGACAAGCTTTAGTCCATATACTAAGCGTAAACATAATTTATTTATAATCTTATCAAAATAGTGTAAATAGCTCAATTTGACCATATATATATGAATATATTATCACAGTTTTTGAAATGATTGTCTGTTAATTGATGGTTAGGATGTTTCTTTTACATATGCTGTCATTTATAGATGATAATCCTTTAATGATGATCTAATCTCTATTCTCTCTATCTAGTTTTTAATTTGTAAATGAGATTACAGAATCTATCATTATCAAATCCTACCTTTTATGCTTATCTCCAATAGATGAAAATCTCCTTCATATGTATAACCAAATTTTACCCAGAGCTTAATTATATGTTCAACATAGAGTCAAAATTTAATGTTAGTCTGGTTGCATTTATATCCAAAGTCATCTCTTAAAAAAATTTAAAATCAATAAAAGAAACTGATAATTGACATAAGTATCCATGTATCAAGTACTATTGCTCATGCAATCAGATCAACGCTGATCGAAATTGAAAGGCCACTTATTCATCAAATCAATTCACCGTGGTGAATTAATCTGGCTAAAACAAGATCCAATTTTGATCACTGTTAAAGCTATTGTTTACAAAGTTTTCATGAGGCAAGAGTGATAAGATTTGTGCAATAGAATAAGTTCATTGTATTCCAAGGTTTCCATTCAGCTTCAAAAGACCTAAATTTAAAATAAATGGTATTATCATAAACAAAGTTTTCCATAGCTTAGTAAGTGAAGTTGTGTTTTCGAAACAACACAGTAAATAATATAAGAAACAGAAAGACGCCATAAGACATAGTATTTACGATTGATTAGTATTGAAATTTTTGTTGTTTAAATCACAAACAACTGGAAGAAAGAGCCTAGGATAGAGTTGGTTGGAGAACCCTAATCGGCGACTTATTCTCCATGAGGTGTAATAGGCGTAAGTAACCGGACAGCTGTTTCGTCGTAGTATGGCACTCAGCAGTGCGCATCCATGACTCCACTATCCATTAGACACAAGACCTTACGTCTCGCCCGCTAACGCTAAATCTTCAAATCACTGAGTTGGCATTTAATATTGTACGTCCCTACCTTCAGTAGATTCATGATATTGCATACCCCTCATCTATTTTCTACGGTAGGTAACTGTCTCACATTTGACATTATTGGACTCCATTAGTTACGACTTCACATTAGAACTCCAGGAGTTGTACCTTGAATTTTGTCATTGGTGAAAACAATTATTATCAATATTGGGGGTATAACTAAGATCGCTTTTTGTTGCGCAAACTGAAAGTTTTACGATTTCCAATACTGATAGTACGTACATGGTGATAATCAATCTAATGTAAAGAAGGGTGTGACGTCATGAATAGAATGTTTGAAAATTCAAGATAAAATAGTGAGATTATGTACTAAACATTGATGGGTTCATGATTTCTATGAAACTAAGCTATCTTCACAACCCAATACTGATAATAAACAAACGTGTCAATGTGACTATGTGCTATAGTAATGAAAGGTTTACCACTTTTTTCTGTGTACAAAGGTTATGTCGAAAGAGTTTGATAACAACGAGCTTTGAAGAGCGGTATAAAATTGGCGTCCGTTACTTTTTTTCTGTACTCTTATGATATTCACATTATATTCATTATCTATTAAGTGCTTTCGCACTTACGAACAATTTACTTCCTTTCACAAACGAACTCCGAGGGATATGTCCAAAAATCCCTGGAGATACCCTCTTTTCAGTTCACTCTACGTGTTTGCTTCCACATTCAATCCCATTTACATCTGAAAAGAAGCTTCTAAATATGACGAACCGATTCTACTCTGCAAAACATTTCATTCTCCTTTTATCTAAATTTGTCAACAGCGTTAGCGTGCATAGAACAATTTTTTACAGTTTGAGATGAAATCTGTGCAGTAGAATGGGACTCCATTATAGTGACATTATTGATCGGTGTTTGGTGCCCATTATTTATTTATTTAAACATAAAAGTTGATACAAACGGACACCGAAATATATATGCGCCACACAAAAATGAGATTGTGAAGAAATAGAGAAGGGAGGGTGAATATAATAAAAAATAAGAAAAATGAATGAAAATTAGTCTATGAGTAAAAAATAATGGAAAAGGCAGTTCAGTTAAGAATACGATCAGAATGGAATCTTTCAGTTTTAGAAGTCCCTCTCACTTATACTGCGATTGTAAAATAAATTTACAGCAGGACCGCAACTGGCTTTTATTCTGAGCCATGTCTAATGAAGTCGCACTATCTCCAGGACCCTAACCAGGGTGTTATAAAGCACCAGTCCTGCACCACTTTTGTCTATACCACTGCTCCATATCATAAACCATTTACCTCTCTGCCTATCTAACCAGTCTCTGCGTCAGCAAATAATGTACGATATGGACTTCACAATGCATATCCAGGCCAGCGAAGTCCGTTTTTCAAGACAGTTTCATCAATTGGATTATCGTCGCTGTGCAAGAACACGCGATACAGAACCTCTACATTACTTAAATAGTGTTGCCACTGGGTGTCAGCAATCCTTCAAAGACAACGATGATCAAATACAGAGAGTTGTCTAGTATCCTCAACTCAGAGAGACCAGGTTTCACAAGAATAGAGTAAAACTTCTCTCACCGACGTGTTGTAGATTCAGCTTTTTACAGCCAGACTAACGTCATGTAGGCTCCAAAGATGGCACAGATTGACACAAGCTACTCTGGCTCTCATTATACTTGAATTGATATCACCACCTGCACTTACACAGCTACCCAGATACATGACTTTGATACATCACACATACAATGCATTAGATAACTAAGTGGAGTAACACGTCAAGTTACCATTGTTTGTATTAATCTATTCAGTGATGACAGTTACTAAACATTTTGGCTTCAACAAAGTCAACTTTCCAATTGTACTACCTAAAATCATCAGCCATCACTGAGTTCATTGTCATGTGTTTCAAAAAAATTTTTCTAGTTTATTAGACAACTTATGTGATTTCATCTTGTCTTCATCAAGTCATTTTGAGGTACTTTCATCCTACTCTTATTATAAACAGGACTATAGTTCGACGTTAATGTTTATTTATTAGCATTACTAAATGATGAATTGTTTTTTGAAGGTACAGTTTACAGAAATTCCAAAACAGTTGAAATACGTCATATATGTTTGCAGTTTATATATATGAACAAGATTTTTAATGAGTAGATAACACTAAGTTTAGTGTTAAATGTGAGCTGTTTATGACTCATTCAATTTGACCTAGCCTGATTACGTAATGCTGATTGAACTCGAGTAACTATTATCAGTTACACAGCTTTTGTAGGTCAGTCTATTTTATGTATGATGTCATTTTTCTCACTGATATGTTGAATCGGGCCTGTTAACATTAGAGCTCAGTGCATCTGTGGAATTTTTCAGTGCTTCCAGAATTTTTTGGATACCACTGTTCCATTTAATATCTAAATCCAACGTGAGAACATATGGCACTCATGACATTTGTTACTCGAAAGTCTCCAAGCTTGTTGTGTGACTACTACGCTGTGAGCTACGACTCCAGCATCTCAATCTTTATAATATACCACTCAGATTCACTATTCTAATGTATGAAATCCCAATTTATGAATTTTCTGTCCTTCAAATGTCGTAAGAATAGGTAGCGCTAACATACCAAAGTTAAACTTCTACACTTCCTTCATCTTTTTTGGCAGTTTACATTAGCCATTGAACTGTTACATCTTTCGATAAAATCATTTGTATTTGATCACTGTTAGTATGTACTGATGATATATAGAAAAGTAACTTGATCAAACAATTATTTCATGGATTGATCTCAGTTATAGTGTCACTGAACAGTTGTATTGTCCTAGTATGAGACTCCTCAGCAATATGAAGTCACTACTCCCTGAGAAATTCAAACCAGAAACATGGTCTCTTAGCGAGTACTTAGCCAACCAGACCAATGGGTCGGTATACATTAACACGTATTGTATCGATTCAGATAGCTACACTTTTGAAGTATGTAGTAAAAAATGTAGTGTGATTTAAAGAAGTGAGACAGTGATTGATAAAAATGCAAATAACATGTTAAAAAAATATTTAGAAAAGTGAAAATGAATGCAATCTCTGCTTATACACTTGACATTGAGTCACATTTTTTAACAATTTTATAGCTTTCATCATCCTAAGGGTGTATTCTTTCTTCGTGTACCACATATTGGCAGATATAATTGAATGAACTTCATTTAGCCTACGTTAACAAGATAGACAGTAACGCTTAACAGGGATATCACATATTGCCAATACTTCATTTGTCCGTTTAGTATATTATTAGAAAAGTTGTGTTTTTTTCCTATTGTGTTCATTTTAAACAATTTCTGTCTATTAGTGACATACTATTACATAAGAGTGTAATGATTTGGTCAATCACTACTAATATTTTCGTAACATGAAATATATATATGGTTCTGTTCTGTTTGCTTGATTTTTCTTTCCGTTCAGTACTTGGAAGTAGTTGGTAGAAAAACCTATAAACCTTAATTTCATGCTAGTTGGCATTTGCCAATAAGGCATACATGGAGTCTCGAGAGAACTGACACTGCCCATGAAATCAGAACCCGGATCATCCAACAGCTTAGCATCTCAACATAGTACATGCATTGTCAAGTTACTTCTATTACTTTACAACTAGATCAGTAAACCCTTGATCAATCAGTAGCAAGAAGAACTAGGCAAACATAATACTGGTCATTACTAAGTGACCAATTAATTGGTTTTTCTTTTATTAACTCCTACTTATTATTTGAATGTGTTCAATTGATCTTGTCTTCAATCTTCCGGTTTTTTTGTTCTTCTCTTTCTAGCAACTGCTGGTTTCGCATGGATTGCAGCTGTGATTATCGGTGTAATTATTTTTATAGTTGTGATTGCATCAAGTATATGGTTGTGTACACGTGATCGTGGTGAAACTTACATGGTATATGATAAGGAACGTGCACATGGAAATGATCCAATACAAGAACTGAAAGAAAAAGAAACATTTCAGACATTTCAAAGACAGTAAGTGTTCTCCTTCTCTCTTTTTTTTACTAATTAAAATGTAAACTGTTTTCCAACTGCAAATCGTCAACAGTAATCTGTTGAACGTTTACAACATCGTATCAACGCCGCTGACAAAATTTTTCTTTTAAATTAACAAGTTTTCTTGACACTGATAATGTGGTTTTGATCATCAAGCACTTTAATTTGTCTTTGTAGACAAAATTATCAGTATAAAGAACTTTAATGAAGTAAAATGAGTTATTATAGAATTTTTCCACAAGTAGTAAGTAAAAGCTTATTTTATCAAGATGAGATTTGATTGATTGTAACCAGTCGAGTTTGCTCCGTTGTCTGTTCAAAATATGTTACTTTAAATTGTCCTTTTTTCCCTGATGTCATTTTGGGGATGTTATAGTATAGTTATGAATCTAGGTGTTTCCGAATTTTTTCTGATATCCAGTGGCAATACTATGTTTGTACTGCTAAAGTTTCTCAATGTGCGTTCGAGCACAGTGTCGACAATTCAATTAGCGTTACTGTTTTGAAACACTGGTTTTCGATGGCTTAGGCATGTTTTTCACAAGTTATGTAGTGTTTAGATTCCCAGCTCTGAAAATAGGACGGGGCTTCGTGTTAAGGATGAAAGCCGTCTTGAGCTGGCATCTATAGGCCCACTATAACTGTCCCACTGAGGTCCTAGAGATAGATATTGCAACTCATTGTCTTGAAATCCTATCATACATAGCTTAAAACAAAAGCCAATGGTGATCGTCGTATAGTTTCGTTTAACATTTTCTGAAAAGGAGAGGAACTCATTCAACTGAAGGAAGTTTCTCTTGATTGTTTTGTCAACTGAACTGTATTACATATTATATAATATTCTTGTTCACTTATTTTTTGATTTTACTTTCATTCCGTCTTCTATTTCTTAATAGTAACTTCCTATTTATGTATTACGTACATATTTTGTTGTCCAGGTGTGCTAAATTTTATGAGTTCTAAGTAATTAGGTAAATACTTGCCAACCCAGTCAATATGAGAGCACTTATTAACTGGCTGAGATGAATTTTTAAAAAAATACTTACTATAAATTGAGACTGATGTTAAAGTAGTCGCCAACCAGAATTATAATGATAAATTTTTCGATTCTGAATCTACCATTTCTTCTGTAGCCTGGTTTAGATTCCTCCGTGTGGGATTGTGGATGCGCGCTACCACTGAGGAATTTTAGGTTTTTAACGGTAGTCTAACTTAGATCAGTTCATAATTTGACTGAAACGCGTAACTATGTTGAACAGTGTGGTACACTAGAAGTACTATTTTGTTAGTTTTTCACAATACTACCACATGTTTATGACTCATAAAGCATTGTGTATTTGGAGATCGACATAGTTACTCACTCGCACTACATTTCTCATCATAATTATCTCATGGTTTAGTAGTTGTGTTTATTTTATATGTTTATGCACAATTTGCATTGTTTATTTACTGTTATATTGTACTCATCTCATTTACTTTTTTCAATGAGTTGTACTGTTGAATCAACCCTAATAGTTGTTACTGCACGTGAGAACATTATCATCAAACTCACAAATAACCAAGTCCATATAGAGAAACATTCTTAGTTGTTGTATTTCAAAATCTAGAGTGAGGTATTCATTCACTGTCTCTTCACATAGTTTAGAGGTGGTGACTGCATACTTCTCACCATTTCCATTTATTGTCATCATTAACTACGCATATATATATATATATATATATATATATATATATATATATATATATATACAGACAAACCGCACATGTATAAAGTTATTTTAATTATTACAACTACTTCATGTTTCTAGACTTGAGCAAATAAAAATTTCACGATTATTGTTACAGTATGATATCTGGGTGTACCTAAATGTAAAGCACTATAATTCTGAGTCATAATCCAATGACACCAACTGCAGTGTTTCTATATGGAACCATAATAACAGATATTGTTCACATTTATTTCTTTCTCTCTCTCTTTTTATGTTCATTCATTTGTCCACTGTTGTTGTTGTTGTAATATGAA